ACTGGCTGGCCGATACGGCGTGTTCACAGGCTGCTCCCGCGCCGGTAATCTACAGACCCCTTAGCGCTGCGTGCGGTCACCAAACTGCACCCATAGGGCTTGTGAGGCTGCACAAAGAGCAAGCTCAATTGCTTGAGGCCTCGCACACCGTACGGCGGGCTGGCAATAATGGCTGGCGCTGCTGCTGCCGAGGCTGTCGCTGTGACGCTGTCGCTGCTGCCATTGTCGCTGGTGCTGCCGCTGCTGCCGCTGCCTGCTGGCCACCTGCATCGAACGCTCACGGCCGCCAGCACGCTCATTTCTCAATGACCTCTCCTTGCTGAATCCACGCAAACACCCAAAATATCGTGTGAACGCACCTGTTAGGTCGTTTACGCACCCGCTTGGCCTTCGTCAGTCTGCGTATGGGTACCAGCACAAGCGGGCGCCGCGATGGCGCTCAGCTGCTTGGTGCACGTCCCCTTGCTGCGGTGCTGAGGAACACTGTGTCGGCCGGCCAGGAACCGCATACAGAATGTATTTATAGCCTACCTGGCCTTGTTTGGAGGGCCTAGTAGTCAGGGGCGTCCCAGTCCTCGTCTTTACGCAGCTTGGAGTTTTCGCGAGGTCGCGTAGCGTCCCCGATATTAGCAGCGTTATCAATCGTGAAATCAAGTTTATGTGAATCGAATCAAGTGGCATTGACCAGTCATCGAATGCCTTTACGATGAAAATGAAAGAAGCAGTCGGGCGGCTTCCTTCTCAATGGGCAGGATCCAGGCAACCACTAGAACAAATCGCAAGGTTAATAAAATAAAGGTATGCTTCATCACACGAAAGTGACCGTTTGTGAGGTGGGGCCGCACAACCTGGTCACAATGAACAATCAGAATCCTCCCTTGCAGTGAGCTCCAGCTGCAGCTCAGCTGCTTTTTGCGCGTACGCGATTGCCCTGTCACCAGGCAGCAAAGCGGCGTGGTGATGCTGCTGTTCAGAGTCAGCTGATGCAAATGAATTGCTCTGCATACTTCTCGCTCTCGCAAGTGCAGGAAGCCTACAAAGCCCGAGCACGCAAGCCGGCAGCCCGCGCAACACTGGTGGAGGGAGGGGGGGTGCGCTGGACACTGTGCTACGGCTAGCTGTTGCTCACGCACCGCCGCGCCCACAGCGTCGGCGCTATTGTATTGCACACCATGCTCCACCTGTGGGCCCCTGCCCTTTGTGCAACTAAAACTTGCATGGTTAGCCTGTGTGCACGCAGTGCAGGATTGCGGAAGTGGAGAGCGATCAACGTGGACAGTCTAGTTGTTACCGTGCAGGGATCTTTAATGAGTTCGCACGCGCCCGCCCCCTGGCGCCGCCCGGCCCCCCGGCCGCTCCCTGTCTGTTGCTGGTTGGGGTTCGGGGCAACGCGCCTGTCCGATGCGGCGGGGGCGGCGTGGCGCGGGAACCCTGTACCGATTGGCGCGGGCATCGTGACAGGCAGGCGGGGGCGCGAATCAGGCCGCTTGCTGCCGGGCTGCATTCGTGGTACGGTAATACAAAGTCTCGTCTCTACACATGTTTGCCAATCAAGCTGATGTCTCCTGACAAGTATCTTCTGACAGACCATCACACAGCGGTATGATATTGACGAATCGATACAGCAGCATGCGTGTCCTCCCCGCCACCCACCCGCCGATGCACACTGCCACATGCCAACCTGGGCGCAAGCAGACTGCACAGGTCTGTTGAGCCGCCCGCAGCTCGATCTACTCGGTTGTTATCACAGTCACATTATTTTGGAGCAGCACAGAGGCATAGCAGCGAGGCGTCCTGTGCATTGATCTGACACCTTTTGAATTTGGCGCGACCCGACAGGCCTAAAGCGCAACTGATAAAAGGATAAATTACTTTCATGCACCCGGAACCGATACAACAGCCTCTGCCAGGAGGCGCAGGTCGGCTGCTGCTTGTGCTGCGGCGGGGGAGCTCACTGCCGCTGTGCAGCACGTGGCATCCTTGAGGCGGCGGCGATGGGCAAGGTGGGTGACCTTCAGATAAGCTCGTCCATCTGCCGTGCGCTGGCAAGCCTGCGCATGCGTTTGTCCCGCACCCTGCCCAAGACCCCAGCCTGGCCATCACTTGCATCTGGCTCGCCTCAACAGAAGCAGCCGCCAGGCGTCAAGCGTCCAAATGTTGGCCAGAGCATATCAAAATTTTTCGACAAGCAGCAGCATGCAAAGCAGCAGCAAACCTTGGCTGGGCAGGGGCAGCCGCCACGCGCTCAGGTGAGGTTTGCATGCACGAGCGTTCGCGTGCGCACACAGCCACGCCGAATGCATGTGTTCTTGACGTAACCGTGCAAGGTTCAACCCCTACAACGCCACGGCTTTGCTGCCACGTGTCTCCACGCACCTAAGAGAATCAGTGTTGCCGCAGGGTGCGGCCCGGCCCGGCAACGGCTCCAACTACGCGGCTGGCGGCCAGCAGCAACCACGCAAGGCGCCGGCTGCCACGCTGCCACCACAGCAGCAGCAGCAGCAACAGCAGCAGCAGCTGCAACGTGGAGGGGTCTTGCATCCAGCGGCCGCGGCGGTGGCAGCCGCGGCCGCCAAGGCCGCCCGCAC